TGATAGACAGAACATCCCTGGAACAGAAAGGGCAAGGTTTACCCTGGTGCAAGCTGTGCACTAACGCATTCCCCTCCAGAAAACGACCTGAGACAATTGAGCACATATTCCTACAATGTCCAGGTGCACTCTGGTTGTGGAGATGGTGGGATAGAATCTGGGACCAACTAGAGACAAAAAACCCGTGGCCCTGGGACTGGAAGGCCCTGCTGTGTGAGGCATGGCCCAGGGGTCTGGTTGATCCCCTCGACGAATTTACTAACAATCTGTTCAAACTGGGACGAAGGGTGGTGCTTTGGGCGCTCTGGAGAAGACGTTGCACATATGAGATGGAAGGAGCGAGACTAGAAGGGCCCGAATTTACAGAGAGTGTGCAACAACAGGTTCAAATAGAAATAACGGCAAAATGGGAGGACGTCAGAACACAGATCCGCTCCCTAAACACAAAAAGACATCAAACAAAGAATCCAGGACTTTTCCTCAAGCTGGCTAGGGGGGACAACCAGTGGAAAGATAGGGAAGGTGGAATGGAAAGGGGCACAACAGAAAGCCGAGGAGGGCCAGGAGAGGATGGAAATGATAAGGGACTACCGACTGGATATTTCATGATTGAACTAGCATTGATACATCTATACCATTGAAGCCCCCTGAGAATTTTCCCGACTTGCTTCCCCCCCCATCGAATTGCTTAGTGGGAATGCAGTGGTACGGGATGGATGGATGATTCTTGGAGTATGAAGGGTGGGATACTGGGAGCCAGGACTTAGATCCACAATACGCTGTTACGTAGAGGAGAAAAGGGGCCAGGTAGTCAGGTTGGTCAGGCGCCCAGCAGCGGGGTGAAGAGGCCTCGTGGTTAAAAACCCCGCAAGCAGTCATTGAAAAAAGGATGGGAATAGGGTACAGCAGCAGTAGAGATGGTGACTCTGCTGCAGTAACTCTTGCCGGAGAGGGATACAGGGGTGTCTGAGTTGTTTTCTGAATTGTGCATATGTTTTTGTCTCTCAAAAAAAAAAAAAAAAAAAAAAAGGCTGAACTGAATTTTTTCTTCCCATTCAAGCGAACCAGCGATTCACTTTTCCAGTGGTACTATCTGGCAGAGAGAGGAAGTGGCCTCTCTTTGGGCCTACAGGCGTCATTTCCACCTTGCAGTTCAGGTAAAAAAGGTGTCTTCCTTCATCAGCAATCATATCTGCAGATTCTGACACATTTATCTGCAGATTCTGACACCTGCAGTAGTTCCTTGCAGCTGACTCTTCTCGCAATTGCCATTGCCAACCTTTTCACAGTTGTCATTTTCTCCATATGCACAGTGCGCCCGGATTCAGAAGGTGGTCTCAATGAGCACAGTTTCATTCCTCTTCCATACGTGAATTGGATGGCTGTGCTCCATATGTGTGTGTGTGTGTGTGTGTGTGTGTG